TTTTTTCTTTTTTTTGTTGCTTTTCTTTCTTCTTTTTCTAAAGCAAAATACTCACTTGTTTAATAGAGTTTGTTATGTGCATGTGCTGCCACTGCTGATGAAACTGAAGATGATGACGGCGATGATTACGATGATGGATATAATTACAGACTAAGATCCATGCATACTTTATCTTTCCTGTGGTTTCTCACATTTGAACAGCTTAATAATATTTTTAGGTTCTACAATGGAGATATTTGATATACAAATCTCAGGTAACTTTATTGCAGCACCTTGATTGGAGAAAATGTTTCATAAAAATAATGTCAATCTGTTTTCAAACTAATGATGACTGTTTTTTTGGGGTTTTTTTTTTTTTTGGGGGGGGGGTTGCTTCTGTAAATGTCATAATACATTTTTATTTTTTATTAATGTTAAAAACACTGGTCGTTTAATACGGATGACACATATGCATATTAAAATGACAGTATTTTGTTCTTAGTGCCCTTGCATAACATTGAAGAAAAAAATGTGTTCTATTATCTCTCGTCCACGCTTAATTTAAGATTCTGTAATGATGGTGATTTGCGACCCAACTAATATTCAGAACCAAATCATTAGAATTTAGGCACTTTATTTTGTACCCTACTTTTTGAGCTCTCTCTTTAGTTGTGATTGTTATTATATTATGCATGTCGTTATGTCAGATAGATGGTTGGGGCGGAGTAGGGGGCGCTCGGAATCGGCGGGGTGAAAAAGGGGGCGGTGGGCTAAAAAAGTTTGAAAACCACTGCTTTAGACTTCCACCTTTTCGGTCTCTAAAAAATAAACATTGACGTATATGTGAGGCAGCGTGGTGGAATCAGGCTCTCGTCAATTTTGGGGCATGTAGAGTTATAGGTATCATCTTAAAGCTTGTTTACTTGTCTTTATTTGGAGGAAAAAAATATCCATTTATCTTGAATACAGGTCAAGATATGTGTGAAAGAAGGAGGTGGGGTTCACCTATTTTAAGAGGTAAAATTAGTGAGAAAATGGCTGCAAAAGATTAGTTATATCGTTAGCTTAAGAGTCCGTGGTAACTATAAATTTACATAGTACCTTTAATCAACGTTTTCCAGAAAAATCCACGCATAAATGAGTTTTTTAATGGGTATGAAAGGTGTTGAGCCAAAAAACAAAAATTTGAAAAAAATTCACAAGCCTGCGGAAAAATGCAAGTTTCTTCTCTTTGATTATTTTGACGAGAGCCTGATTCCACCACGCTGCCTCACATATTATGTTGTGGTCCACGATATGAAATTCCGTAGTCAAGATGGGCACTTTGGAACAATCAATACTAGAAAAGAAGTAGCGAGACTTGAGCGTAAAAGGCAAAGAAACGACAGAGTAAGACTTCCGGGGAGTAATTTAGAGGTTAATGGAAGCAAAAACGTGGGAAATGGTAGATGGGGAATGGATTGAAAGGACATAAAAAATGAAAGTATGCAAGGTGAAACTATGTATTTGAGGTAAAACACAAAACTAATGTAATTGAGGTAATCGTTAACTAAACAAAAGGATGTTTGATGAATAGGAGAAGAATCAACTCTCTGTTTTAGGATTGGTGTGCTATAAAGGCCTACTTCATGAGAATTACTAGATTAAAGACAAGAGGTGAACCAAGAAAAATAATAATCGGCAAATTCAGAGAGACTCTTTAGAGGAATAACATGGCGATCCAAAAAAAGGCAAATCCCAAGGCCGAAGTCCGACAACTGTATTTCCCCTCGACACGTTGAGATACAGGAAGACAAAAAAAAGCAAAATAAAGTAAGTAAACTAGAGGAGTAACAAATAAAATGGGTTTGCTTAGAGTGCAAGTCCCAGCCTTTTGTGAATTGTGAATTTGGTGGCAGGGGGAATTGGGGTGGAAGAAAGGGGTGGGGGGGGGGGGCAGGCTGTTCATGCCATAAAAAATACTGGTAGTCAACACGATGGAACGAGATACAGATTTACTAAAGCCAGTGATATCCTGGCCACAGGGTTCCTTTTATATATCGACATATGAGTAGGTAGACATCTGACTATATTTTTTTATATACCATATATCTATATCAATCTCTCTCTCTCTCTCTCTCTCTCTCTCTCTCTCTCTCTCTCTCTCTCTCTCTCTCTCTCTCACTCTCTCTCTCTCTCTCTCACTCTATCTCTCTCTCTCTCTCTATATATATATATATATAATATATATATATATATATAATATATATATATTATATATATACATTTTATAACTATGTTGTATTATGCACACACACTCATATTATATAATATACTTGACAGTATTAGGATGAGAAGAAAAAACTTTGGAGAAAAAAGCAGCAGTGGGGTAGTAAATGACATTTCAAAATTGTAGAACAGAAGAGTTGATAAGAATTGAAAAAAAAAATCGAATGACAGCCCAGTGCCGAGGACGTTCCCGTGTTTCTTGTATGATTGTGGTAATGACATGATAAAAGTGTAAGTTTAAAGCTCTTTTGTACACCTAAGGTAAGATTTTTTAAAGTTTAAATGGTCTCCAAATTTAAATGTAGATCCTTGGAAACTCCAACAAAATAGATTAAGTGGAAGAAAAGCCATGTCCATGCGTCTCTGCATGATGCCATCCTTGCTTTTGGCGAGCCAGGGACGCCAAATGCTTCAAAAGTAGTCAAAACCTGATACTAATGGCTACATTTCTTTCTTTACTTCTTTCTTTTACCAAAAGAAACACAAGCAGTATCAGCACCAGAATCTCGGGTTTCTCCATTCATTAATTAAACTACACATTCAGCTCTGGTCATTGACTAAAGCAGAGATTCATGTCGGCCATCTTCTATGTTTCATCAGATTTTTTTGCACTTTCGAACGGGAGTCAAACAGAAGTTCCTTGCTGGCATAAAGAATGCCATTGTGGATAAGATTCAGCAATGAGTACTCAAATTCCTCACCCCCAAGAAAACCCACAAACAATGTGATCACTGTGAAAGCTTCACGGAGTAAAAGTGAAAATACTCTAGGAGAATAGACTATTCATCCTTAATGACTCATTATGCAGACTATTCATCCTTAATGATTCATTTAGCAGACTGGGGTAGAGAAACGGTCTTTTGTATGCGGAAAGTCAACTCCAGCACCAACATCGTTCACGACAATGTTGCCAAATGTCGGCTGACTCTTTGTAGCAAAAAACACTTTTCCTTTCCGCCAAGACTGAAACAGATTGTTGAGATGGCAAAGCTAGTACGATTATCACAACTAAAACTAAAGCAATGCAGCTGAGGTCTTCAGTTTTAGTAAGAGTTCAACGACAAAACAAATGCGTGCCGAAGATCAGAGGTGCTATTTAGGCAGTAACATACAAAGGAAAAGAAATAGACTATTCATCCTTTTTTTACTCATAGAGATAAGGACAGCAGATGTATGATAGAAAAAAATGAGCTAACCACACCATAGCACCCGCCAACCACACATATTGAAGCTTTCTCAGCAAGAATTGGCTGATATTTGGCACCTACCAGGGGCGGCTCGGGGGGCTAAAAAGTGGACGTGAACAATGAAGCTGTCCCATTCCCATGCTGGAGATTGTCAAGGGCATAGTAAATGAGACAGTGTATAATTTTAGGATCTTTGGGTTCGTGAGGGAGGAAGTCGTGTTCTTATTTTCATTCTTTTTACTTGTCACTTTAATTTCTAGTTCTTAATTTGTTTGTTAGCTAAATATCAATTTCGTTCATCCTGAATTGGAACTGAACACTCAAGTAATAACTTTCACTTCTCCACTACAAAACCATTCAAAGGCACAACTCATAGGACGATCACGTATACCTCCCTCAGGTTCACGGTCACAGAGTCACTTAAAATAGTGGCAAGGCAGACAATGAACCAATTACAACTCACTTGAGCACTCCGCTGGATTGCTCCGGGGCTCACATAATATTGGCAAAGAATAGCGTAGGGTCAATCGTGTTTATTTTTAGACTGCCTACTGTAGGCTATGTTTCGGCACTATTCGGCAGGAGCACATTTGAGATGTGCGTCTTATTAATATTTATGTACCGCCAAACTCGCTACGAGTGTCGTCATCGCTTGGGTTATCCCCAAGAGTGGTATATAGGCCAGGTTACACCGTTGAATATACTAT